TTACAGCCGTTACCGGGGAAACCGCTAGTTTTATCACTCTAAAAGCGCCTCCTGCTGGCGGAGAATGAGTTTGCATTTTCAATAATAAGCACATCTCCAGCAACATTTGTTGTTGCTCAATTTTTTTCCTCCAGTGAAAAAGTGCATCTGCTGTTGTCTCTCACATAAAGCTGTTTTGAAACCATATTTTCAGTTGACGGATGAAGTGGGAAGTTAATGGTTGATGTGTTGTGTTTCAGTCACGGCTCTGCTGAGGAAGCTGAAGCAGCAGTCACGAGAGAGTGTGGAGGACAAGAGACCCCGTCTGCTCAAAGCACTGAAAGAGGTAAAGCAGCAGGCCACACACACACACACACACACACACACAGAGTCCCCGTGTATTAATTAGCATCGGCGCTGAGAGACTGAGGCATCTGGGAATGATCTGCAGACAGGAAATGACCTACAGGAAAGAAGATACTCAATGTCACCTCACTGCAGACACTTCAGATTCACACGAGCGCTCCATAACAAACAATGACTTTGAGTGCATATTTTAGTTATTAACTTACTGATGGGATGTCTTGCCTTTAATAATATCAGCCAATGGTTTTATTCAGAAATTTGTCTTAAAAATGAGAAAATGTTAGGTTTTCCTTAAAATATAATGCTGAAAGTGCTTTTATAATTGCTGTGTTTTATATATACTATTGTAAGAAAGAAATTGAATATAGTTTTCTTAATTTATTGAAGTTTTATTTTAATTTCTACTAATAGTATTTGCTGGTAATATGGCAGTTAATAAATAAATGAATTAAATGCATTTAAAATTAGCTGAAATATCAGGCTGAAAGAGCTTTTATAATTACTATATTTGTATATTGTTTTAACCAAGATATTGTTAAATTATTGTGTATAATTTTCTTAATTTATTGAAGTGAAATGATTATTTTAATTTCTACTGATAGCCTTTGCAACTAATATGGAAATACATAAATAAATAAACAAAAATGCATTTATAAAAAACTGGAAATGTTTATAATTTCTATCAAATATCAAGCTAAAAGAGCTTTTTTAATTCCTGTGTTTTATAAATACTGTTGTAAGAAAGAAATTGTTAAATTATCGTGAATGTAGTTTTCTTAATTTATTTGAAGTTTTATTTAATTTCTACTAATAGAATTTGCTGCTAATATGGCAATTAGGGGTGTGCAATATTGACAAAAAATAATATCTCAATATTTTCTGGGATTTTATCGATAAAGATAATTAGACGATATTTTGCTGAGTGTGTTATTGTGCTGATATCTTAAGGACTGCCCTCCTGAATTTTTTTATATTCTTCATATTCTGTGGTCAGTTCACAGCAGTGTTAGAAATTAATCTTTTCCAATAAGTTTAAATTGATTTTTTATGGGCATTTTTACCTTTATAAAGCCATTTTTTTCTAAAAGTGCATTATCTTTTGAATCAAATTCTTACATTTAATCAGTGAATTGGAATAATAAGACCAAAAATTTGGGTTTTTACCAAGCAAATGAAATCAGTATCAAGAAAATTAATCTTTGCAACGCAGAGGAAACACAGAAGCTGCGTCTGAAGAGACATTTAGATGCATTTACATGGTTTAATGCAGAGCATGAATGCTTTAACCTGCAGTTACACATGCATAAATAATGATATTTTGATATATTAAACATAAAACGTTTAATACTGATATTTGAAATTATCTAAATAATAAAAGAAACTTTAAATGTGAAATTAAAACCGCCAGCAAGTCACTGTTAATAAGTGAGTCACTGCGATTGAACCGAATCATTTAAATGTTTGATTCATTCAGGAACGAATCACCGTCCTGTTGCTCAGAGACACAAAACAGCGCTGTGGCTGTGTTTGGAATTATGTTTGTTGTCGAAATAGCGCAAAAACAGGCGATATGCTGTCTAAAACGTAAGTCTCTTAGTTAACTTATAGTTTATTGAACTGTTGTAAAAAATCAACATCACATTTGTAATCCTAGTAATTTTTAGAGAAGAAAACGGCACTCTTCGTGTGAACTTGATTAACTATATGAAGTGGTATAAATATATATATTTTCTGCCCCTATATCTTGAATTTGTGATCATTCTAAGTGTATTTTAGACTGAATCAATGCGCACTCTTTAGCTGTTTTGAATGGTTTTTGCAAAATACTCTAATGTCAAATCGCACATCGTTAAAACAACAATTTCAATATTATTGCAGATGATATATATCGCACACCCCTAATGGCAATTAATAAATAAATAAGCAAAAATGCATTGAAATAAACAAGAAATTTTTATAATTTCTGTCAAATATTAAGCTGAAAGAGCTTTTATAATTGCTACATTTTGTATATATATTGTAAGAAAGTTATTGTGCAAGTGATTTTCTTTATTTTACTTTACTTTATTTTGATTTCTATTAATAGCATTTGTTAATATGGCAATAAATAATTAAATACAAAAAATGCATTTAACAACTGGGAAATTTTTAGGCTTTCTGTAAAATATCAAGATGAAAAAAAATCTTATGATTGCAATATGTTTATAGTGTTGTAAAAAGACATTGTTGAATTATTGTATTGTAAATTTATGTGGGAAAGCAATTGAGAAATTGCTATTAAATTTCATAATTTATTACAAAGAAACAACATATAACATTAAACTTGGATTTTTGAAGTTGAAAACTAAAACTGAAATAGTATTTAGTTGTAAAACAGAAACCCCTCATCAGACAGGTTTAAACACACGGTGCTCATGTTAATCAGACAGCTGACCCTGCTTTATTAATCTGAGCACCATCGCTGTTTCTGTGTATCAGTGACGTGCTTGTGTTGTGTTGTTCTGTAGCTGGGAGATTTCTATCTGGAGCTGCACTGGGATTTCCAGAGCTGGGGTGAGTGGAGTTCTGATCGTTAGCCTTGTGTTTTAGTCGTTAGAGTCGCTGTTACTGGATGACCTCAGTGTGTGTGTGACGGGGCACACGGATTGTTTACAGCACTGGGGTCATCCATCTGTGGGCGTGGCCTCATGTCAAAAGCACACACAGTTACACACACTCACACACACACACATTATTTTCATAATAATTAGCCCTTTTAAACCCCAGATTATCATTACTGTAATACATTATTTTAAATGTATTTTTAAATGTAGTTCAAATGAAATGTGTTAAAACAAAACTAATGCATATGTCTGAAATCATGGCTCGTTTTCTATCAGGTCTGTTTTTCTGTGGCATAACATGTTGAATCTGTTTATTGCGTGGATTGTCGAGCAGATGTGTTTGAGGCTGTTGATTTTCTCTTCCTCAGTGCCTTTACTCTCACGGATTTTACCCTCCGACGCCTGTAAGATCTACAAACAAGGCATCAACATCCGGTACGTTTCAGTGAGAGATTCATATTTCTGCTCTGAATGAAACACGATATGAATATGCATCTCTACCCACCCACAACAACTGATGTCAGCTGGTTAGTGCGAGTGTTTACCGTCACAGATCAGCATTAGTTTGACGAGAAACAGTCAGCTGATAGTTTCTGTAACCTTCGCTCAGGTAAAGACCAGAGTTAATATGTCATTTTTCATTTTTGATTTATTGTTAACTAAAACTAAAACCATAAAAAACTTGTGTTGCTTGAAATAAAATAAACTGAAATAAACATAAAAAACTTAAACTTATAAATAGGAATAAAGTAGGAAAAGACATGCTATTGAAGCATATCTTCATTTAT